TAAGACTTCATTCATCAGTAGCCATGCTGTTTTACACCATAAAATAAGACATTTCATGTATATTAAACATGACTGGAAAAATAACACAAAAAGGAAAAAACATCTACAAACACGTCACTAGTTGAGCACTCAGCAAGGGAATAAAAAAACCAAAATGTGGTCACTGATATTTCATATTGCGGCTGCCTGATGTGGGTCAGCTGCTGAGGGGTATGGGGGAGGGCTGGCTGCAGGGGAGGCAGCATGGAACTAACCCCAGCGTACAGGGCTAGGCTGTGGATTTAATAAGAAACAAGGCTGCACAGCGGGACAGACAAGGCAGCCCTGTTCTCGGCAGCCAACAGTGACACCTAGCAGACAGCTGCAGGTACTGCAGCTTCAGTACATTCAGTGATCAATGGAACCTTTCCCATTTACTCTCCTCCCTGGATGCTTCTTATCGTGTTCAGCTTGTCATTTCAATCGAGGAATGATCTTCATAGATGTAAACTGACTATGATAGTGAATCTATCACTCAGGGGTTAACCTGGTTTCATCACTTTGAGACGCCTGATCCGTGCAGCGCATAATAGAAAACAGAAGGTAGGCAAACACTTAAAAGGCAGCTTAGTTGAGCATGTTAAAAAGCAGAGATACAGAAAAGAATGCAGAGCCAAGTAAGGATCACTAATCTAACAATGTTCTGCTTAAGGAGAAATGGATACGCATACATATCTCTCCGTAAGGGTTATGCATTCTTAGTCCACTGCAAGTGACAATTATGCAGGTAGAAAACGTGGCTGTTTTTTCATTGTTTATTAATTCGTTCATGAATTCATGAATCACCCACAACAAATGGAAACTGAGATGCACTCAACCCAGAAATAATATTAAATATCCATCCATCACCGTAACCGCTTCCCAACCGGGGTGGTGGGGGGGACCGGAGCCTATCCCAGGAACAACGGGCGCAGACAGGAACCAACCCTGGGCAGCTGCCAACACTCCGCAGGTCGCACACACTCACACACACCAATCCAATACTAAATATGAATAGATATTTTGGTTACTTTAAACAGTCATTCATTCTGACTGAGAGATGAAAGATTTTTAAGCAATGCTGAGAGAGAAACAATTGGCAGGTATAAGCAGGTTAATAGCTGTGAATAAAGAAACATACAGTAACTTGGTGGGTCTCCTGCATCAATAGTGGTTTCCTTCCATTGTCCAAAGACATGCAGTTATGCTCAGTGGCTCTCACCTGCCCATAGTGCATTCATGTACAGGGGTTGGACAATGACACTGAAACACTGGCTAATGTAAGAGGACAAATTGATGGTGTGCATCTCGCTGGCACATCTGTAACCAAGACAGCAAGTCTTTGTGGTGCATTGAGAGCGACAGTATCCAGGGTAAAGTCGGCATACCACCATGAAGGACAGACCACATCCAAGAGGATTAAGTGTGGACACAAGAGGAAGCTGTTTGAAAGGGATTGTATCCAAAAACTCACAGCGGAATTAAACGTGCAACTAGACTCTACTGCTTCCACCAAAACTGTTTGTCAGGAGCTTCACAGGGTCACTGTTCATGGTAGGACTGGACCAAGTCAAACCTTCAGTCACTCATGCCAATGCCAAACCACGGTTTCAATGGTGCCAGCAGCACAAATCTTGTGCTGTGGACAACATGAAACATGTATTGTTCTCTGTTGAGTCCACCTTCATGTTTTTTTCCACAACTAGGAGAGTTACAGTGTGGAGAAACCCCAGAGGCTTACCACATGGACTGCTGGGTACCCAGAGTGCAACTCAGGGGTGGATCAGTGATGGTTTGGGCTGCAATATTATGGCATTCCCTAAGCCCACTACTTCTTCTAGATGGGCATATCACCACGAAGGACTACCAAACCTTTCTGGAGGACCATGTTCTCCCAGTGGGTCAAACATTGTGCCCTGAAAGTGGTGCCGTGTATCAGGATGATAATGCACCAACACACACAGCAAGACTGGTGGCCGAGTAGTTTGTTGAACATGATAGTGAAGTTGAACATCTCCCATGACCTGCACAGTAACCAGATATGAATATTATTGAGCCACTTTGGGGTCAGGAAACATTTCCCTCCACCAACATCACAGGGTGACCTGGCCATTGTTCTGCAAGAAGAATGGCTCAAAATCCCTCAGGCCACTGTAGAGGACTTGCATCTGTCATTCCCAAGACAAACTGATGCTGTATTGACCGCAAAAGCAGGCCCTATACCTTACTAACACAGTGCCTGGACAAAAGAAAAGCCACACACTTTAATATTTGGTTGGACTGCCTTTAGCTTTGATTGTGATGCACATTCATCAAAGCATTTTCCACATGCTTATGCAACACTTTAGCATATATTTCATGTCGAGATCTTGTATTGATGATAGGTAGTTGAACCACTCCGTAAAGCCTTCTTCAGCACATCTCAAAGACTTTCAGTGGGGTTAAGGTGAAGACTCTCTGGTGGCCAATTCTTGTGTGAAAATGATTCCTCATGTTCCCAGAACCACTCTTTGACAATTCCAGCCCAGGGAATCTTGGCTTTATCATCCTGGAATATGTCGAAGCCATAGGAAAGAAAAAAATCGCTAGATGGATGATGCAGTGAACAGGACTGTTACCTCACACCTCCTGGGTTATAGGTTAGATTTTTCCCTTTTCCTCGCCTTCGCAGTATATGTGTTACGTGTGTGTGGCTCTACACTGGTTTCAAAACACAGGTGCTAAGGTGTCTAAATGTCCTTCAGTGTACGAGTGCATGCCCTGTGATGGACTGCTATCCTGCCCTGTGATGGACTGCTATCCTGCCCTGTGATGGACTGCTATCCTGCCCTGTGATGGACTGCTATCCTGC